GAGGAGTGGCTGGTGGGTTTGAACCACCAGCTGTCTGGTTAGCAGTCAAGTGCCTTAGGCACTACGCTACCAGAGCTCCCATATATATATATATATATATATATGGATGTTTTACCTTCAAATGAAGGGTTGCCTTTTTAGTAATTATAGGCTTAACATGTTAGATCTAGGCACACAGGATTTTCACATAACAGAAGATTAATTCATTAATAAAATTTAAATCTGGAAACATAGACTAGATACTGCCTACTTCTCAAGTGCTTGCTATCTAATGACAGGAGCAGATATCAAAGTCCTTACTTACAATGAAAACTATTGTTAGTGTGTTTAGATGCAACAATATTTGTGGAAATAGATGGTTAAGCTGGTATATACAACAGAGTGTGGAGTGTTTTATAATTAATATAACTTTATGAATGTATTTGCAATAAATGCTAAATTTTAAGCTGTAGAAAATATAGGGACTAATTTTTTTTGAGGAACTTATATTGACACTTTTTAAAAATCAAACATTTAATTTTAAGATAATTGTAAATTCACCTGAAGTTGTAAGAATTAACACAGAGAGGTTCTGTGTACCCTTTTGTTTCCCTGAATGGTAACATCTGGCAAATCTGTATAGAGCAGTGTTATAATCAGGATTTTGATACAGTAAAGATGTTTAACATATTTATCACCACAACGATTCCTCTTGTTGCCCTTTCATAACCACACAGACTTCCCTTTCATCCTCTGAAAACACTAATATATTCTTCATTTGTTTAATTTTGTCATATCGAGAATGTAATTGCACTCTATATACTTCTCTGGAGATACATCTAGGTTGTTGTATCAGGAGTTTATTACTTTTTATTTCTAAGTAATATTCTATTGTATGGATGTAACATCATTTCTTTATCCATTCACCTGTTGAAGGATATTTGAGTTGTTTTCAGTTTTTGGATATTACGAGTAGAAGTACTATAAACATTTATGCACAGGTGTCTGTGCCAATATTACATTTTTGATTCTTCAGAATAAATGCCCATAAGTGCAATTGCAGGGTTATATGTATGCTTTTTTTTTTTTTGTAAATATATATGTAAGAAAAGTTTGCCATGTCAACGTTTTTCACATGTGTAATTCAGTGACATTAATTGTGTCCATCATGTTATGAAGCCATTACCATTATTCTTTTTCATATTTTTATATCACCCCTAACAGAAGCTCAGTGTCATGCAAATAATGAGTTTCCTTTTTCTCCTTCCTAGCTGCCCCTGGTAACCACTAATAAACTAAGGTCCCTATATACTTTCCTGTTCTAAGTATTTCATATAAGTGGAATCATAAAATATTTATCCTTTTGTGACTGACTTATTTTATTCAACATGTTTTCAAGGTTCATTCATGTTGTAGCATGTATTAGGACTTCATTTCCCTTTATGACTGAGTAATATTTCATTATTGGGTGCCGTCTAGTCACTTTGACTCATAGCGACCCCTTGTAGCAGAATAGAACTGCCCATTGAGTTTTCTTGGCTGTAATCTTTATGAGAGCTGGTTGCTAGGTCTTTAGCCTACAGAGCTGCTAGGTGGGTTCAAAGTGCTAACCTTTCAATTAGCAATTGAGTGCTTAACTGTTGCACCACCAGCATTCTTTAAATAGGTACTATGGTTTGTTTATTCATCTGTCAAGGACACTTGGGTTGTTTTCATTTTTTGGCTATTGTGAATAATGTTGGAATGGATATTGGTGTATGAATGTCTGAGTCCCTCCTTTAAAATCTTTTGGGTTTATACCAAGAAGGGGTCATGAGGTAGTTCTATGTTTAACTTTTTGAGTAATCAGTGAACTGTTTTCCACAGTGGCTACACCATTTTACCTTCCCACCAGCAATGGATGAGGGTTCTGATTTTTCCCCATCCTTGTCAATTCTTGTTATTTTCCAGTTTTCTTATCATAGTCATCCTAGTAGGTGTGCAGTGGTATCACATTGTAGCTGGTGGCGCAGTGCATAAGGTATTTGACTGCCAGCCAGAAGGGTGGTGGTTCAAGCTTACCAGCTGCTGTGTGGAAGGAAGATGGGACAATCTATTTCTGTAAAGATTTACTGCCTTGGTAACCCACTGGCAGTGGCTGTGAGTTGGAATTGACTCCATGGTGGTGGGTTTGGTTTGTTTTTCTAAATGACTATTGACATTGAACATCTTTTTTATGTGCATATTAGTGATTTGTATATTTTCTTTGGAGAAATGTCTATTCAAGTCCCTTTTGTTAATTGGGCTGCTTGTCTTTGTGGTGAATTATAGTTTATTTATTTTTTTAAAATATATTCAGGGTATTAAATGATTATCAGATTCTCAAATATTTCTGTGGGTTGTTCACTTTTTTGAACAAGTTCTTTGATTTACAATTTTTTTTTTCTTTTTGATGAAGTGCAATTTATCTATTTTGTCTTTTGTTGGTCATATATTTGGTATCATATCTAAGACTCCATTGTCAAAAACAAAGTTTTGAAGTTTCATCCCTGTTTCCTTCTAAGAGTTTTATATTTTCAGTTCATCCATTTAGGTTGTTGATCTGTTTTGAGTAAATGCTTGTATGTTATATGAGGTATTGGTCCAGCTACACTCATTTGCTTGTGGAGATTCAGTTATGCAAGCACCATTCATTAAAGAGACTACTTTCCCCATTGAATGGATGTAACACCCTTGTCAACAATCAATTGACCACAGATATATAGGTTTATTTTTGAACTCTTGTTGTGTTCCATTGGTTTTTATGTCTGTCATTATACCAATACCACACTGTTTTGATTACTGTTGCTATATAGGATTCAAGTCACAAGCTCTGGTAGCACAGTGCCTAAGGCATTTGACTACTAATCAGAAGGCTGGCAGTTCAAACCCACTAACCACTCCTTAGAGGAAAGGTTGGGCAATGTATTTCTTTAGTGATACTGCCTTGGAAGCCCAAGGAGGGGTCGCTATGAGTCGGGTTCGACTCGACAGCAGTGAGTTTGTTTTTTTGGTTTTTATAGTATTTGAAGAATGAGCTGAAATATATTGATGTTCATGAAGATGCTGCAGGATCAGGCAATATTTAATTCTTTTACACACAGGTCGCCATGATCCAGAGCTAAATGGAAGACAACTGACAACAACATAGTATGTTTTGAAATTGGGAAATGTGAATTGTCATATTTCTTTTTCTTTTTTCGTTCATTTGGAGCCCCTTGCAATTTTGTGAGAACTTGAGGATTACTTTTCCATTTTTGCAAAAAAGGCTGTTGGAATTGTGATAGAGATTGTGTTGAATGTATACATTGCAGTTAGTATTGACAGCTTCACAATATTAAGTCTTCCAATTCATGAACATAGGATGTCTTTCTATTTATTTACATCTTCTCTAATTTCTTCAGCAATGTTCTACAGTTTTTAGTGTACAAGTCTTTTATCTCCCTGGATACATTTATTCCTAGGTATTCTATTCTTCTAATTGCTGTTGAAAATGGGATTATTTTCTTGATTTCCTTTTCAGATTGTTCATTGCTGATGTATAGAAACACAGCGGATTTTTTGTGTATTCATCTTGTACCATAGACTTTACTGAATCCACTTATCAGTTCTAGTAGCTTTGTGATTCTTTGGAATTTTCTTTATATAGGACCATGTTGTCTGTGATAGGCTTTTTATAAAATAATCTTTTCTAGACCCTCTTAGTTGGAGTTGTAGCATTTCTTTTTGAGAAGTGTTATGAATCTATGTTTTGTGGACTCTGTTAATGCTGTTCTAAGGTTTCTAGATTGGGAGAGTTAATTGTTTTAGTACTGGACAGGAAAATCAGGAGAGAATGGTTTGGGTAGGAGATAATGAGTTCAGTTTTATACATGTGATTAAGTGTGCTTTGGAAGTCAACATGGATTTCATAAGCTCTGTGAGGGTGAAGGGAGCTCTGGTAGCATAGTGGCTAAGACACTTGCCTGCTAACCAGACGGCTGGCGGTTCAAACCCACCTGCCACTCCTCGGAAGGAAGGTTGGGCAATCCTACTTCCGTAGTGATACTGCCTCGGAAACCCAAGGAGGGGTCGCTATGAGTCGGGGCCAACTCGACGGCACATAACAACAACAACAACAACATGAGGGTGAAAGGAGCTTTGGTGGCACAGTGGTTAAAGTGTTTGACTGCTAATAAAAAGCTTGGCGGTTTGAACTCATATTTTTCACTGCTTATCTCTACCAGAAAGTACAATGTTGCATAAATGAGTGCATTAAATATAAATCTATTAAGCAGTTGGTAATTTGTCTAGATAGTGCTTAGGAGATTTGCCTAGAGTGTTGATAAACATATATGGGTTTTAGACCCATAAGTAGTTGATACTTTAGACCACAGAACTGTATTACATAATTCAAGGTGAATATTTAGAATTAAAAAAATAGAAGACTAACTTTGGATCTCAGAGATCATCAATATGTACAGATATAGATATGCACAGTTCTGAAAAGGAATAGTGGTTGTGGCTTGATGGATAGGGTCATACAGATCCAAGGAAGAAAAGCTTCTAGAGGGACATGCACAGAGATTTTTTTAGGGTAAGGACTACAAGAAAGATTTGGATTTGGTGATTAGGGCTGCATTGTTTTGTCCAAATAGGAGTTTTAGTATAGTGAGCTGTGTAGATTGAAGATAGTATAAGAAATGTGATGGTGAAAGAAGGAGGAACATGAAGTGGCTTGAGTCTGGGGAAGGTAAAGTTTATTGTCATTTTACGAGGGGGTATGGAATCTTTTGGATCACAGCAGTCAATAGGAAGGTGAATGGATCTTCCTTGTATGGCCACAGGAACACTGCTAATAGATAATTTAATGGACTTCAGGAGATTTTTTTTTTTTTCCTGATTAAAGTTTGGTTGTTAATTTTTCTTTTGTTTCGGAAGTTAGGGCTTTTTATATTAGTAAATCTGTTACTTCTCAAAGAGAGTTTTGAGGTTGTTTTATTTTGTCATTTTATGTAAATTGTATCAAATATGGAGATTCTGGAAAAGGTGAAGGAAAATGAGATGAACAGAGGATAGAAGGTAGGAATAGTGGACGAAAGTTAGAAGGAAGTCACTTCATTTGGGATGAAGAAAGTAGGGGACAAAAATAGAATAGGAATGGTGTCAGTTTCAGGTAGAATTTGAAGTTGCAAATTAAAGTCTTTGTACCTTAACTTGTATTGATCTTCCAAGGCACACTTTACAGTAATTTATCTTTACCCCTCAAAGGATGATCTTAGTAGACTGATTAAGTTAAGAAAACTTTGTTGTTGTTGTTGTTATGTGCCACCGAGTTAGACTGGATTCATAGTGACCCCTCCTTGGGTTTCCGAGGCAGTATCACTATGGAAGTAGATTGCCCCATCTTCCTTCCGAGGAGTGCCTGGTGGGTTTGAACCACCAGCCTTCTGGTTGACAGTCGAGTGCCTTAGGCACTACGCTACCAGAGCTCCCAAGAATGCTTTAGTGAACTAGTAAACTATTTATTACTGATGGTCCCATTACAAATAATACATATAAAACAAATATATCTTGTATTTCTCCAGATACTTTTTATGTCACATGGGGAGCCCAACATAATTTAGGAGCAAGAATTGTCCCAGGACAACCATTACCTCCACATGGAAAACCACTTGGAAAACTAAACTCTGCAGATCTGAAGGATGTTATTAAAAAGGTATAGTATGAACCCTGAATTAGAATTTTTATTTGGTGATGATTATAGTAATTTTCTTATGTTTATTGCAAGCTTTTTGAGGGCATAGAAATGAAAGATCACAAAATGGGTAAAGCTGGTTCTTATTGTTTGGAATTTAGTCTTTTGTAGCTGACCTAAGTAGATACACATGTACATCACAGATATGTCTAAAACATGGCCAAGATTTGTTGGGAGGAGTTATCTGATTTTGGAAAATGAATGAGACTTAATATTAATTGGTAAATCATCCTAGAGCAGTGGTTGTCAAAATTTGGTGGGCCTTGGAATAACTTTGAGAATCAAAAAATATGTAGATTTCTGAGTCTTATCCCTAAAGAGTCTGATTCATAAGGTGGGACCCAGAGAGTCTGAATTTCTAATAGGTGTTCAGATAAGGCTGATGTTGCTGATCCACTGAAACTGTGAGTAGCATTGTCTTAGGTTCTTAGTGTGTTTGTATTTTCTTTATATTTAATTGTAAAGAAGAAATAATATTACATATTATTATTTAAAAAACTAATATTTACTTATAGCGAAAATAGAAAAGTTATTATTTACATTGGAAATTAATGTTTATTTTCTCAATAAGTTTTTATCATGGGCTGGTAAACTGACTGATCTATTTAGAATGAGTATTGGAGTATTTGGGATCATTGAAAGTAGTTAACCATGTGGAATCTAGTTGTCCTGTCTCTTCCTGCACTGAATTGTATGGCCCAGGGAAAGACATAATACCTGCATGAGCTTTCTATTTGTTCCCAAGTAGTGCATAACAGCAAAAGTTTGAAAAGATTTTTCAGACACTGGCTTTCTAGAGGTCTGGGACTGTTTTATGGTATATATACACTGATGTGATTTATAAGTTGATAATATTTGAGAGTTATTGATGTTTTTATAATTAACCTGCTTCCTCTCTCTACTTTTATATTAACGATTCTTAACGTAACTGATTTTTTTGAACTCTTAATTTGTTTAACACCACGTAAGTTTCTCCTGGGGAGCACCTTTAGAGCTAGATTATTAAATAAATACAATATTGAGTGTCACTGTACCTCTTTTCTTGAGCATATAAAATATAATATTCTGATTTAGATAACTGATATTTTTATGTAATTAGGGCTTGTATTGATTATAAAATACTCTTTTTGATTTTTTTAAAGGGTCTTATTCATTATGGGCGAGATAACCAGAATTTAGATATTCTACTTTTCCAAGAAGTCCTGGAGTATATGTCTAGAATAGACAGAGTGTTGAGTTTTCCTGGAGGTTCACTTCTGTTAGCAGGACGCAGTGGTGTAGGTCGTCGGACAATCACTTCTTTAGTCAGTCATATGCATGGAGCAGTGCTGTTTACTCCAAAGATTTCCAGAGGATATGAGCTGAAGCAGTTCAAAAATGATCTCAAACATGTGAGTTACTCAAAGTTTTTTGCTTTATTTAACTATATAACTAAATATATAATTAAACCAAGTTAGTTAGTATTCTAATTTCATACCTTTTAAATTCTCTGATAGACTGCATAATCTTTATTTTAATTTTGATGAGTAGTTTTCTCATGATTCTTAGAAAACTTCATTTTTATTTCCAAATAGGAAAAAGATTCCTATTTGCCTACAATTTGTAGCTCTTGGGTGCCCCAGATAGAGATTGTAGAATGTTAGATGGACTTTGAAGAACAACAAAAGGATGAATTTTTTTCACATAGACTATGTATGTGGGGGAACTCTGGTAGTGTGACACCTAAGGCACTTGACTGCCAACCAGAAGGCTAGTGGTTCAAACCCACCAGCTACTCCTCGGAAGGAAGGTTGGGCAATCTACTTTTGTAGTGATACCACCTTGGAAACCCAAGGAGGGCTCGCTGTGAGTCAGGTCTGATTCGATAGCACATAACAACAACAACATATTTGTGGGAGGAGCTCTGGTAGCGTAGTGCCCAAAACACGTGACTGCTAACCAGAAGGCTGGTGGTTCAAACCTACCAGCCACTACTCAGAAGGAAGATTGGGCAATCCACTTCTGTAGTGATACTGACTCGGAAACCCAAGGAGGGGTCACTGTGAGTCAAATCTGATTCGATGGCAGTGAGTTTCTTTTACTTTTTTTTTTTAAATATGTATGGGTATTTATCAAAATGAGGCACTAGCGTTTGATTTAATGTTCTATTTGTAAGCTGTTGTTGTTGTTAGGTGCTGTTGAGTTGTCTCCTACTCATAATGACACTGTGTACAACAGAATGAAACACTGCCTGGTCCTGTGCCAGCCCCATGATCCTTGCTATACCTGAGCGCATCGTTGCAGCCACTGTGTCGATCTGTCTTGAGGCCTTCCTTCTTTTCTTTGACCTTCCACTTTACCAAGCATCATCTCTTTCTCCAGGGAATAGTCCCTTCTGACAACATGACCAAAGTAGGTAAAATGAAGTCTGGCCCTTTTTGCTTCCAAGGAGCATTCTGGCTGCACTTCTTCCAAGACAGATTTGTTAGTTCTTTTAGCAGTCCATGGTACTTTGAGTATTCTTTGCCAAAACCACAATTCAAAAGCACTGACTCTTCTTCAGTCTTCCTTATTCATTGTCCAGCTCTCACATGCATATGAGGCAACTGAAAATACCATGGCTTGGGTTAGGCACACCTTAATCTTCAAGGAGATATCTTTGCTCTTCAACACTTGAAAGAGGTCTTTTGCAGCAGATGTAAAGGGATTAACATTTCCCCAAAATAGTATAGGCAGTCCCCAGGTTCTGAACGAGATCTGTTCCTGTGTTTTTAAATGTTCAGGTCAGTCAAAACAGGTGCATGTGGTTCTTATTTAGCCTTACTTTGGTGCAAGAAAAGACTCAAAGCCTCTTCAGTAATTTAAAAGCTGCACATGTAGGAAGTGAAGATGGTTGTAATGAGTTTGTTGCAAGTAGGAGTTGGCTTATCAGTTTCACAGTGAGGACAAATTTACGTAAACATAAAATGAATTGTGAGCCAAAATAGCATTGTACCACTCAAAGATGGCAGCACTTGGGTAAAAGATGGCAGCACTCTCTCAAGGATGTCAGCCTACCTTGATGCTGTAAATTGCTCTCCACAGTCCTGCAAATAATCCATTTTCATGCATCATGCTCCTGAAAGGGTTCATTACTCCTCTTCTGAGTCTCCCATTTTCCAGGCTTTGAGCTGTAATTTTTCCTGTTCTGATTACTATGATGAATCACCCAAATTGTAAAAATTCATGTCTCTTTCTGTTTCACTTCCTTGACCATGACAGAAGTGGTTCGAGTGATTTCAAAGCCCTGTGTAAGGGCGAGCAGGAGTTGTCTGAAAGTCAGACATTTGTAACATAGAGACTGCCTCTATTTGCTTTTCAAAGTGTATGGCTAAAGTTTGATTTTAATTTTGATTACTCAAATATAAATAAATATATAATCATTCATGATTACATGGCATAGTTTATATGCAGAATAATTTTTAACAGCACTAAAATTCTCAAAGGCTACTAAATATTTTCTTATTGAACAGGTACTGCATCTTGCAGGCATCGAAGCCCAGCAAGTAGTTTTACTTCTTGAAGACTACCAGTTTGTACATCCTACATTTTTGGAAATGATCAATAGCCTTTTGTCTTCAGGCAAGTCATTGATTTCTATTCAAAGAAAATGAAAGTACTAATGTAAAAATTATTAAAGTAAAATCATCTTGTGTAAAATTTACTTGTGTTTTAGAGACCTTTGGCATAGTTCTTACTAGAGTAACATGAATTAAACATGGTCAGGGCAAGAGAATTGAGAAACTCCATTTTTATAAAATCAGAAGATTGAAGAATTACCTAAAGGTGATTGATAATATTCAATATTGGTGAATACACAGAAAGAGCGGCTATCTCCTACACTTTTGGTGGAACTATTATTACCTTCTGTAAACATTTGGGAAAGTTATCAACCACCACTTACTTAAAAATGTGATTCACTCTTTATTTTAGAAATTTTATTATGTGTAGGAATTTAATCTGTAGAAATAAAAGATATAGTACATAACAAAATATGTAGCATAATTTGTAATAGCAGAACATTTGATACAATATCACTCTTAAATGGTGGAATAAATTATGATATGGCTTTAATATGGATATATGAATATAGCTGTATTTTGAATATATGTAGTTTCTTATTTCATGTATCTTGGATATATTTGTATTCAGTAATCTAGAAAAATATACGTTACTTCTGTTTTTGAATGGACAAATTTTAAGTATTATATAACCTTATTTTTTAAAAATTAAGATTTTTATGCATTTCTTTTTCCAATGGCTGATTTGATGGAAGTAGATCACCAGACCCTTCTTCCAAGGTGCCCATAGGTGGAATTTAACTGCCAGCCTTTTGGTTAGCATCAAGTACTTAACCATTTGCTTTTCTCAGGGACTCCTGTAACCTCATTAAAAAAAAAAAAAAAATTAAAGAAGAAAAGGTACCTCTAAGTATTTAAAATATGTACATACATGATAGAAAATTACCATTTGAAAGAATATATTGGGATAATTTTTTTCTAGAAACTTATGAGTGGTAAGTGACTCTCTAGTATTAATAGAATTTTATGGGTTGTAGAAATGTTTACTATTTTATTTTTTCAATTTTTTTGTCCTTAGGAAATATTTACTTCCATTCTGCCTTACTGACTTTGAATGTTATTTTTTGGAGATACACTACAAAGTGCTAGATCCATTTTTATTCCCCCCATGTTTTTCAACCCTGATTGTGCATTAAACTACCTGGAGAATTAAAACAAAACAAAACAAACTTATTCTTTGCTTCCGCAAAACTATTAAATGAAAACCTCTGGATTAAGGGTGGTGGTAGCATTTGGTCATTTCAATTAATGCTCCCTAGTTAATTCTGTTCACCACTTGTCTGTCAGTTTGTCATACTGTGGTGGCTTGTGTGTTGCTGTGAGGCTGGAGGCTATGCCACCAGTATTTCAAATACCAGCACGGTCACCCATTATGGACAGGTTTCAGTGGAGCTTTGAGACTAAGACAGACTAGGAAGAAGGACGAGGCCATCCACTTCTGGATAAATGGATAAGTGTAAACCTTATGAAGCAGAGAAACACTGTCTGATATGTTACTGGAAAACTTTACGAATAGCCATAAACACTGTCTGGTATAGTGCCAGAAGATGAGCCCCTCAGGTCAGAAGGCACTCAAAATATGACTGAGGAAGAGCTGCCTCTTCAGAGTAGAGTTGACCTTAATGGTGTGGTGGAGTAAAGCTTTGGAGACTTTCATTTGCTGATGGGGCATGACTGAAAATGTGAAGAAACAGCTGCAAATGTCCATTCATAATTGGAAAGTGCAATGTATGAAGTATGAATCTAGGAAAACTGGAAATTGTCAGACATGATATGGAATGCATAAAGATTGATATTCTAGGTATTAGTGAGCTGAAATGGACTGGTATTGGCTGTATTGAATCAGACAATACCCAGACTATGGTATTTTCAATCACCTCATGTATGTGTGAAAGCTGGACAGTGAATAAGGAAGACTAAAGTAGAATTGATGCTTTTGAATTGAGGTATTGGCAAAGAATACTGAAAATAACATGGACTTCCAGAAGAATGAATAAATCTGTCCTGGAAGAAGTGTGGCAGGAATGCTCCTTGGAGGTGAGAATGGTCAGACTTTGTCTCACCTACTTTGGTCATGTTGTCAGTAGGAACCATTCCCTTGAGAAGGATATTATACTTGGTAAAGTGAAGGGTCGGTGCAAAAGGGGGAGACCCTCAAGGAGATGGATTGACACAGTGGCTGCAAGGTTGGGCTTAAGTATAGCAGGGAGTGTGAGGATGGTGCACAACCAGGCAATGTTTCCTTCTGTTGTGCGTAGGGTCGCTATGATTCAGGCTGAATCGATGACACCTAACAACAAACACACAACAGTTGAGTCTATGCAACCTGAGTTAAGAATTACTGCTTGCTTCTTGAACAGCTCTGGTCTTAACCTACTCTTGGGCATGCATCTTTCCCCAGCAAAGTGTGGTACTCCTCTGTTCTCTGGAACCACTTGATCTGACTGTTGCTACCTGAGGAGGATACCTGCAAATTCCTATATTTCTTCCTTTTCTGAAGAATTTATGAAGTTTGGTAGGCTTTGAAATCAAATAGTCTTTTCTTCAGACATTAAACTGCTTTGACTAAAGAAAGCATTTAGTTTATAATATATGGTATGTACAATTTAGTGAAGTCCGGGACTCTGGTCAGACAGGTAATAGATCCATTTCTGTTAAAGATTTTTGGGATAACAGTTTAGTGAAAGTGGTAGAACTTGAGCAATCTTGGAGTGTTTGTTACTATTTTATAGAGTAACCACTTTTGATTTTCAAGGAACACATCTTTGCCTGTTGCTTAAGTTGTCACTACATGGAGACCTTGTGCATTTTGGTTTAGATAAACCTGGCAGACTAGACTATAGCTTCTTTGTAAAAACATGCACCAGATAATCATTACCCAATAATTGTATTGGTCCTTTCATGTATTTCACTCTACGTAAGTTATATTTCAATAAAATGTATTAAAGATAACTTCTGGTCTTTACTATCAAGATATAGCTGCAAAATTCACAACTAAAGTTAGCTTTTGGTAAAATTTATTTTTACAGAAAGTGTTCAATAGGACTTTGTCTTGTTTTTCTTATTTCAAATTCTTATACCCTAAAGCATATAGTATATATTATATAGGCTGTCATTCTTTGCTAAGTTTAAGGATGATTGGTATGGTTAAAATTTAGAGAAAGATACATAAAGCAGATATATGTGTATGTGTATGTTTGAGTGTTACAGGCTTGAAGGAGTGGGGGTTAACTTGGTACCTCTGAGTTGATCCTAAAGAAAAGTAGAGACCAGACTGTGATTGACTCTACATGAATGTACTGCTTTGAATGTGTAGCAAAGGAGTTTTCACTTAATCTCATACTTTCTTATGGATTCTAAATGTTTCACTTCAACAAATATTTATTGTACACTGTTACATGCAAGGCTCAGAAAGAGATATATCAAGTAAATTGTTGTTGTTAGGTGCTGTACAGTCATCTCCGACTCATAGCGACCCTATGGACAGCAGAACAAAACACTGTGTGGTCTTGTGCCAGCTCCACGATCCTTGCTATACTTGAGCCTATTGCCACAGCCACTGTGCCAGTCCATCTCGTTGAGGGTCTTTCCCTCTTTCATTGACCCTCCACCTTACTAAACATGACATCCTTCTCCAGTGAATGGTCCCTTCTGAAAACATGACCAAAGTATGTGAGACAAAGTCTGGACATTCTCGCTTCCAAGGAGTATTGTGGCTACACTTCCTCCAGGACAGATTTGTTAGTTCTTTTAGCAGTCCATAGTACTTACAGCATTCCTCGCCAGCACCACAGCTCAAAAGCATCAACTCTTCTTCGGTCTTCCTTATGCATTGTCCAGCTCTCACATGCATGTGAGGTGATTGAAAATACCATGGCTTGTGTCAGGGACACCTTTGTCCTCAGGGAGACTTCTTTGGTCTTCAACACTTGAAAGAGGTCCTTTGTAGTCAATTTACCCAGTGCTATATTGTTGTGTTGTTGTTATGTGCCATTGAGTTGGACCTGACTCATAGCAATCCCTCCTTGGGTTTCTGAGGCAGTCTCACTATGGAAGTAGATTGCCCATTTTACTTCCGAGGAGTGGCTGGTGAGTTTGAACCACCAGCCTTCTGGTTAGCAGTCAAGTGCCTTAGGCACTATGCTACCAGAGCTCCTGCCCAGCGCTATATGTCATCTAATGTCCTGAGTGCTTCCATTGGCATTGATTGTAGAACCAAGCAGTGGGAAGTCTTTGACAACTTCAATCTTTTCCCCATTTATCATGATGCTGCTTATTCGTTCAGTTGTGAGGATTTTTGTTTTCTTTATATGGAGATGTCATCCATACTGCAGATTATATTCTTCAAACTTCATCAGTAAGTGCGTCAAGTCATCCTTATTTTCAGCAAGGAAAGTTGTGTTGTTAGTGTATCACAGGTTGTTAATTATCCTTCCTTCAATCCTGATGCCATGTTCTTCTTCATATAGTCCAGCTTCTTGATTACTTGCTCAGCATATAGATTGAATAAGTATGGGGAAAGGATACAACCCTGACACACTCCCTTCTTGATTTTAAACCATGCAGTGCCCCCTTGTTCTGTTTGAATGACAGCCTCCTGGTCTATGTACTGGTTCCTCATGAGTTCAATTAAGTGTTCTGGAATTCCCATTCTTCTCAATGTTATACACAATTTGTTATGATTCACACAATCGAATGCTTTTGCATAGTCAATAAAACACAAATAAACATCTTTCTGGTATTTTTTGCTGAGCCAAGATCCTTCTGACATCAGCTATGATATTCCTCATTCCCCATCCTCTTCTGAATCCAGCTTGCATTTCTGGAAGTACTCTGTCAGTATACTGCTGCAGCCATTTTTGAATTATCTTCAGTAAGATTTTATTTGCATTTGATATTAATGATATTGCTTGATAATTTCCACACTCTGTGGCATCACCTTTCTTTGGAATTGGTACAGATATAGATCTCTTTCAGTCAGTTGGCCAGGTAGCTGTCTTC